GAATTCTGTGCAGTGCCTGCTTCCTTTCCTTGTGCCTTCCTGATTAAATTCTCCCAGATGTGAATGTGGCTGGTAGTGTCTCAGATCACAAGTCTGGATCGCCGGCATGCAGAGGGGGCAGCTTTTCTGAGCAAGAGAGGTTGGGAATCAAGTCACGGCTGCTCTTTTAGGGTAGGACCTGTAATGTGGGAACTTCCCAAACACAGGAAGGGTGTTTAAAAGGTGCTTATGTTTCACAGCTGTCTACCACAAAGGGTTATGTTTTGGTGAGGGTGGACGATAGGATGGTGTAGACCTTTGATGTGACATTGTAGGGGTCAAGCTATAAAATAAGTATTTATTGGCAAAGCTTGTTTTTTGTTTTCATGTGCAGTGATGCTACTGGTGTGGCAGAGCTGTTACGATTCTCAACTTTTTCTCAGGATATGAGTGCAAGTCCCAGCTCTAGTAATATGCTTTTGAGTTACTTTTCAGAATATGGGGGTGGCTTATGCTTTGCCACTCAAAGTATGTTCTGAATACAACAGCACTTGGGAACTTGTTAGAAATGTGTAATTTTAAATCCTACCCCAAATCTACTGAATAAGGATCTTCATCTTTGAAAACCACTCCCTATCCTTGCCCCCTACACTAGCCATTAGGAGACTAAACCAAGTGTCAAGACAGTCAGAGCAGGGTATGTGAATCGTATTTCTATTCCAGCTTCCTCCCATCTGACATCACAAAGTAGAACTCCAGACTAGTAAAATGACCAGTGTGGAAGGCAGCATTCTCCTCATCCTCTATTAGACATAGAAGAGTCCACAAATACATGTTAAATAACTAATAGGTGGTTGGGAATACAGCCAGAAGGAGGATAAACAAGATCTCTAATCACATGGAATTTATATTCTATTAATAGAGACAGAAAATAAAAGATCTGATAAGAGATGTGCAGAAAAATGAAATAAACTGCTGTAGAAGATAGTGACTGATTCGCTAATAAAAGCCTCTGCTGAAGTGGCAGTTATATGAATGATAAAGGAATGGTTAAGGCAAAGTTTATTCCAGGTAAAAAGTAAGTGCCAAAGTCCTGGGGTGGCATAAGATCAGAGATATGGGCAGGACTGAATCAACTTCAGTTTGTAAGCCAAGATAAAAACCTAAAGTTTTGCTATTTTAATTGGAAACCACTGAAGGAGTCTGGCAAGGCAATGGCGTGAGATGATTATCTTTTACATTATTCTACACAAGAACAAAAGTGGAATCTTGGAAAATGTTGAGGAAGGCCTTTCAGTAGTTAAAGTACAAGGTGGTAACTTGGACCAGAGTAGTGGTAATAGAGATAAAGAGGTGAGCTTCAGGATTTGGTTGGGAGTAGAGTCAATGGGACTTTTTATTATGTATTTGTGTTTGTGATAAATTGTTTCCAAAGATGGCTGCATACATATCTACCATCCTAAATGCCTTTTGGCCACTTCTCTGAAAAGGTGGAGTTTATTTCCTTTGCTGTGGATAGACCCTATGACTGATCTATTTTAAACAGTAGAATGCAACAAAAGTGACATTCTGGGATTCCAAGACTAGATTTTAAGAGGCATCTAATTATTCAGGCATAAAAAGGAAATCCTGCCATTTGCAACAACATGCATGAAACTTGAGGGTATTAATGTTAGGTGAAAATCAGAGAAAGACAAATACTGCATGGCAAAATTTAAATGTGGAATTAAAAAAAAAACAACTCTGGGGCATCCCCGGTGGCGCAGCGGTTGAGCGCTGGGTTGCGAAGCTGCCCACGGCCTCTGCGGCGCCGGTTCGATCCCCGGCTGCGCCCCGGCCACCGGAGGAGGGTCCCACATGGCGCGCAGACCTCTCCTGCCGCCCGCTGCTCCCCTCAGCAGTGTACGTCGGTCCTTCTGCCTGCTCTGCTCCCCGCTCTGGCTCTGGTGAATTCTCTCACCCTCCCGTGCTTCTGACTGTACCCAGTGCATGTATAAACAAAAACAAACAAACAAATAAATAAAACATGCCTCTATAAAAAATAAATAAATAAAATAAAACTAAAAAAAACAAAACAAAACAAAACAAAAAAACCAAAAACCAACTCTGAATTTAGAGTAGGTTGATGGTTGCCTGTGGGGGAGGGGGAGGGCAAGGGGAATGGGTAAAGGTAATCAGAGTATAAACTGTTAGTTATAAAATAGATATGTTCTTTGGCTTAACTGTTGTACAGCATGGTGACTGTAACTCTAGGCTATGCTGCTGGAGACAGGTCAGTGAACAGAGCTGCCTTGGAGGAAGAAATACTTCAGAGTGTCATGTAGAGAACTGAGGCAACATAGCTGAGTCAGTCTCTGGACCCTGCACATCTGAGGCCCCAGACATGTAAGTGAGCCCCAGCTGAGAACACCTTGATGTCAGGTGGACAAGAGTCAAGCCATTTTCTTTGCACCACACCCAAAATCTTAATCTACAGGATTTTTTGTTAAATAGCAAATATAGATGAAAGATGAAACAGTGCTGGACATTTTGCAGGTGCTGAGGGATATTATGTAGCCAATGATTTATGTATTTCAATTCTTTTGCTTCCCCAGCCCCCTGCAAGTAATTAACTTTTATGTTTCTGTTTTTTTTTTTTCCCTGATTCACAAGTTCCTGTTTTTTCCCTTACACTCCTGCAATATTCTTATGCTGGTGAAATTAAACTAAAATGAATCCAAGTATAGATACTAAAGAGAAAAATAATAAAGGGTATTATTGCATCTACCTGTTTGTTAGGCTGGTGAAGGTCTATGGGTTGTGTGTGTGAGAGCCTCAGGTTCTCTTTTAGCAGCAAGTCAAAGTCTTCTGGAATTCCAAGCAACCTGGGGGGCCAGCTTTGAATCATGCCAGCAAGTATAGAGCACTTTCAAGCTAATGCCACACTGGGTACTAGTATGTGGACCCTGTGCTCTCTGCCTTTTAAGACTATACATACCACATCTCATGATCCATCTGGCAGGCAATGGACTAGGATTGAGAAGTCTGGCTGCCTTTTCAAAGGCCCTGTAGCTGGCCTTTGTTGAAGTCTCACACTTGCCTTTTTTCTGTTGCTGACAACGTGGATAAGCCAAGTCTCAGCTGCTCTTGACATAGCTGCAAAGGTGCTGGCTGGACTCTTCCTAAGCCACTCTGGTATTATGGGTTCTACTCAGACCTGTTTCCACACTACTCACAGGCGAGGTCATTTCCTGGTGGGATCAGAAAAACATTTTCTTAGCTTGGAGTTAGTTCCCTACTTTGTTTTCAGCTTAGATGAAAAGCTAATTACTTTTATTTATTGTTGGCACCTTGGTGAATACTTTGTGCTCTACATGAAAAAAGATAGACATTAATACATTCATGCCCTTTGTAGTCCAAGGGCTTAAAAAATATTAAGTCACAGTCTCAGCTTTCTAGTATATGAACAAGTAGAAACAGAAAGTTTTGAAGTGATTGCTATAATTCTCAAAGGGACTGCTGGAGCTGCTAATATCACAATAGGAAAGAATAGTTCATTTTTTGGTGAAAGTATGGCTAGTGCTCTGGGAAAACCCTTAACAGGGAAGATTATTGTTAGGGATATGAGACATTTGAAGCTATCCTTAGAAAGGTTTAAAATCTGGCTCAAACCATATCTTAAATAACTCCAACATGTGCTTACTCCTCCCATTTTTTTTTTTTAAAATAGGTAGAATCTAGAAGATAAAAAACCAACAGGGGGATATAGACTAGGGACTATGTGCATATTTTTGTAATGAGGGCAGTTAGGCAATTTCATTAGTATTTCTATGTGATTGTCAGGCAATGGGGTGATGGTGGCTAAGAGCAGACTTCACAATAGCTTGGCTCTGGTTTCTTACCTTTCCTCCAGGAAGTATTAAACTTCTATAAGTTAAATCAAGGATTTAAAGCAAACAGGTTTACCAGGATTCTTACTGCAGGAATTAAAGAAAACATTCAGAGAATTGAAATAAACCATGGGACTGTGTTTTTTTTTTTTTTTTGTCTCTTTTCCCCTGTAAAAAATAATATTCAGTAGGTCTTGGATGTGATTTACAGTCCTCACTCTTTTCCCCCTCTGGGTGAGGCTTTTATTTATTTTTTTAAAAAATTTATTTATACAAGAACTGGGGTACAGGTCAGAGGCGCAGGTGGGGGGTGAGAGAATTCACCAGGGAGAGAGCGGGGAACACCACAGGCAGACAGATCAAAGACACTGCTGAGGGGACCAGTGGGTGAGGCAGGAGAGGTCTGCTGTGCCATGTGAGTTTCTCCCTGGCTACCTGGGAATCGAACCCATGCTGCAGAGGCTGCGGACTGCTTCACCACATGGCGCTCAACCTGCTGTGCCCTGGGAAGGCCCCGGGGTGAGGCTTTTAAAGGTGACATGGTTCAGAGGCAGCTTCCACTTCTGCTCCCAGGATTCTAATATTCACAATCTCAATATACCAGTCAGTGGGGAAGTCTGCAATTCCCTGGGATCAAGAGGGACCTACCTTGCAAATGCTCTGGACTGAACATCTGTACCACAATCCAATAACACCTGTTGCTCTTCAGCTGCAAGTAAACTCCTAATCTGGACTAGAAGCAAACCAGGCTTCAAGGAAATTGCCGATGGCAGACACCATGCCCTGCCCCTTTGTGTTTCCCAACAGTTTGACTCTGCTTGGCTATCAAATGGGTACATCAACACATTGGCTGAGAACACAAATTCTCCCTCTAACTAAATGCAGTGTAAATTTTTAGTTGTCTGACTGTATACTCAAAAATTATCTATAATTGATTGCATGAACTTTATGGAAGCACAAAAGATGACTCCTACCCACAGGCATGACCTCCACAGAGAAAGGGATGCTCTGTAGGACATTTATAAAATGAGTGGTTTGCTGTCTTACATCTTCTATAAGCTTGAAATGTAAATCTTTGAGAGGTTATTAAGTCCTCAATACTGCAATTCACTTTAAAAGGTATTTTTAATTTACAAAAGACAAAGTAGTTTATATTTGTAAACATTTATTCTTTTGAACTGAAAAAGGCTTGCATCAGCACGCATTGTACAGCCTTGCAAATTACACAGAAAGTGAAAGAAAGGTTCCTTGTTCATATGGGCAATGAATCTTTGATGTCCAGTGATCCGCTGCAAACAATGAAAACAAATCTTAAACCACTTAAGAAGTTTCCAGCACTCATCAAATGCATTTCGTTAGGTGACAAAATATCCACAAGGAGGGGAATACAAATAAGTGGCATTTAGTTATTGGAGGGATACACACACACAAAGTGGAAGTATTTTCTTGCCTAGAATGATGACTATTCCCCTTTGAATCTACGTGGTTTGATTAAGAGGCGTTGAGAACATAATTTATTTTATACTTAATGTTCATAGTACTTGAATGAAAAAGGACAGGACCCTATGACGGAATTCTGTATATTCCGGAAATTATTTCTGTGTTTGGAGATACAGGGGAGGAGTAATCTTATATTTGTGAGCTCTCCTTAGTCACTCCCCATACCCTCAAAAAGACAGTACATGGTTTTGACTTGGTAATTCCACTCCTGCATTCTTTTCTCCCAAATTCTATGTTGGGTTACACTGTGCTGGCTACAAAAAAAAGAAATACAGGTTGCAACTAGTTGTAATCATTTTGAAGAATAATTTGCTGTACAATAGAGCTTTGGATCTGATACAAGAATTCAGAAATACAAAACAAAATAACTATAAAAGTTAGGAGGCATTTGAACAGCATTTCCTCAGAAAAAGCTGCCAACTCTGTATCATTCCGATGTGGATTCCTACAGTCATGTGGGGTGAAATATGTATTTCCCCCCTCCCTTTGCTGGATCACTGGCCTGTCTTCAAAAGCTATAACGCCATGACCACACATCCTAGGAGTTTCTATCACATTAACAGAAGCTCCAGATACCAAGCCAATCAAAGATGGGAGAGGACAGGGGAATCAGAAAGATAAAGGATCCAAGATGGCTCTGCTACTGAGAACTTGCCCTTTCCAAAATGTGAAAGTCATAGTGCTTCTTGCTTGTTCTCAGCTTAAACTTGTTAACTGAGTTAATTTGTTTTTTCAATGCATTCTGTGCAGCTGAAATGGAGGGAAATGTGGCTAAGACGGTGTATGTGGAGGCCAAGTCACTGGGTTTAGAGCGGTCAGGGTTGACAGCGTTGTCCCCACTGCCACAGCAGAGGGGGTGACGACGCAGCTGGGGCTGGGACTGGGGGTCCCGAAGCCACCGGATCTTGGCGCCAATTTTAAAGAGTTCCCCAAAAAGCTTCTCGGCTTCCATGCGAGTTATTCCATCTGGTAGTTCAGTAATTTCCAAAACCTTCCCAACAACTAGAATGGAAAAGGTGTAGAATTAATAATCCCTGTTATCAAAAAAGGTGGAAAAAAAGACTGCAGACCCAAATATGACAGGAAATGAAGAGGATTTTCTGAAAACGTTTGATTAAAAAACTTATGATTGTTATGGCCATCTTTTAAATCATTCCTCTTTACCCCTTAAGAGAGGGGTGTAGAGTTGACGGTGTCAAACCTATTAGCTGCACATACAAAATGCAGTATAATATGGTGGCTTCCCTAGATCAGGTGTGTGATCTTGGGCAGTTTTCCTAAACTTCTTATATCTTGGGCAGTTTTCCTAAACTTCTTATATATATATATATAAGAATATATAAAATACATGTAAGAATATATAAAATACATGTAAATATATAAAATACATGTAAATAGTATATAGTACTTGCCCAAACCACTCAAAGATTATAAAGTTCAAGTACATATATGAAAGCACTTTGTCACAGAAAAGTAATACAACTGTTCATTCAGACTCTTTCCATACTTTCTTTTCCAAAGAATACAGAGGCTGAGTTTTATTATGTTGGTTTCAACTCATACCCCCTTTTCCTTTTGATCACTTCACCCCTCCTAAATGTACCTGTACTTTACACCTAACTACACACTCAGATCTGAAATGAAATAGAATTAAGATATGAAAATCCTACATTATAAATGGCACAAATTTCTATGACTTTTTGTGGAACTCTAGGTAGAGTAAAACCTATTTCTGTGGTGTGGTATATTTTTAAAGGCTGTTGAACTGGCCAACAATTCACAATTGCAGAACCCTATCCAGTTGCTTCTCAAGGACACACCTGCTTCTCCTGCACCAAGGTCAGTGGATGCAGCTTTTTTAGCTTGTTTCCTTCCTCGGTTTCCATGTCTGTTGCCAGACTGACCCTGGAAAACCACAGATAAGAAATGAGGTTAATAATGCTGAAACTGTGTTTGTAATGTTTAAACACTTAACACCTAAAATATACTTGCACTTAGCAGAAAAACATAAAATCCCAGCCCTCTGAATTCTGCCTCTATGGCAATGCCATTTCTGTCTCTCACTATGACCTGTCACATGCTGACTGTCTTCATTAAGCAATGATGCCCAAATGCCTGAACTACCACCCATCTTTGTTTTTTAATTTATGCATACAAGAACTGGGGTCTAGGCCACAGGTGCAGGGGGTGAACGGATTCATCAGAGACAGTGGGGAGCAGAACAGGGTGATTGACTGAAATACATTGCTGAGGGGAGAGGTAGGCGAGACAGGAGAGGTCTGCTGCACTATGTGGGTTAGCTCCCTGGCTGGGGATAGACCTCATGCTGCAGTGGCTAATGATAGCTGGATAGTGCAGTGTCTTGAACCCCTACGCCACCAGGGAGGCCCTACCACCCAACTTTAGATAACACTAATGAGTTACTGCTCAGCTTCACTTCCTTGCTCAGCTCCGGATGGGGCTGGTGACAACATTGATAAATCAGTTGGTTAAGGCACATAGCTCTCCCTTGTGCTGCACCAGCAGGTGGACTCAGGGCCCTACACACTCAGCTGCATGAGTCTGATGTTCTGCAAACAAAGACTAGCAGGCTAGACAGCTGGTTTTCATACCTGTTGGGTTGGAATGTGTCCATGCAGAACAGCAGGAGGGTTGTACTGTAGTGGTTGGCCAAGTAGTGGATATCTGGCATCTCCTAAAAGTTAATAAAATCCATTTATACATTTTTCCCTACCGAGTTACAAAGTACTTGCCAGAAATTTCTAAAATGTACAGTTAACAGAAAAGTTGGGGAAACATTTGCAGAATAAAAACGTGTAGTTATTGACATTTAAAACTTTTTTTAAATTTCCCTATTACTTAAATAACTGGCCTTAAAGTCTGAAAAGACTAAAGACTTAGAACAGTGGTTATGAAGGAGGGTAAGTGATAGGAACTTAGATGGGATAGGATGGAGAGAACCTTCTCTGTATACTTAAACATTCCATATGAAATTCATCAAAATAACTGTTCATTTGAGATGCTAAAATCTACATTTTCTGTGATGATTAAAAATGAACACAACTTACATTTCAGGAGAAGGAAAAAACTCTGGACAAATACTAAGTTCTCTATCTCTCCCGATACAATATTAATTGCTATCAGTATATGGATGTACACAATTAGATATTCACACAATTTTAAACAGTTTTCAACAGTGTATATATTTAAATTCTGGTCTCTACATCTGCTCTTAAGCTCTACTTTAATTCTTTTCTTTCACTTTGTTTTTACTAGCATGTTTTCTCATTAAGTAGAAAATATGCTGGGTCTTGTTTTGACTCAAACATAGACATTTTAAAGGTTATACACAATATTTGTTAAAAAAATATAAAAAATACTCTTTTAGAAACTTCTATAGCAAAAAAAATAAATAATTTAACCCCAGTTTTCCTCTTTGGTAGAAGAGCAAACCACTCTTATACTTTTTTTTTACCTTTTTTTTTTCCTACTCTTACACATTTAAAGACTGTTGCTTAAAGTATACATATGGGAAAATCTGAAAAAAATCATATAAATGTATATAAATGACTGCATAGCAGAACCTGAACAGCAAATAGTAAAGAAAGCCAGCAATACTATCAAGTACATAAAGATTCTAGAATCCTTTCAATCAATCCATATTCCACAAAATAGCATTTAAAAACCACCTTTTGTTCTTTATAGACAAACTCTAGATTAAGACTAAAACTGAAAAAAGTAATCCTCTAAAAGAAACTGCTTTCCTATAACATTTTTTACCTGTAAATGCAAGCAAACAATCTAAAAAATTTAAATAGTTTTTATTCTGAGATGAGACTGCACATGTCAAGACACTTTTATTGACCCCAAAGCAATTTCTCAGAGAAATGCTAGAAATTATAATATGGTTAAGGATACTATTTTCTCATTTTTAGTCAGGTACTGTGGCATTACATTGATAATCAACACAGAGATGTGACTCTTAATAAGTTTATATTTATTATTTGAGTTTGCTTAGAATGGCATAGTTCTAAGTGCTATTCATGAGCAAGAATCCTCTTCCCAAATCACTGTGTGAGGATAGTTAAGATGAAGAGACTCCAATTATTTCCTAAAGTCATCAAAAGGAAGGGGTTTAATAAATGCTGATTGCAAAAACCTTGCCCTGGAGAGTAATGTTATCATTTGCTACTTTCTCATTTTATTTTAACCATGTGTTATATTCTCATTTTAACAGTAAATCCCCAAATCAGCACATTCTGTTTGAAGGAGGGTTATGATTAAGTGCTAAGAAAGCATTTAGGAAGCAAGCATCTTTTCCCAATAGCTTCATAATAGAAAGAAGATCACTCCATGGGGTTCTGCTGATGAACATTATGAAGGTGCTTGGGCAGCAAACCCTGGCAGCCCCAGGATATGGGTGCTTTTCTCAGGGACTAGTTCAAGGACAGATATGATACAGTGGTTTAGCACTGAGATGAGAGGTGCAATGCAAAGTCAAAGTGTAGGCCTATGGAGCAATAATTTTTCATATATGAAGATAAGATGGTTATCAGCAGGACTCAAAGGGTCTTCCTTATAGGCTTTGCAATGTGCTACTCTCAGAGCATTCTTATTAAGCCATGTATATCTCAATAGTACTATATTATCACATATTGTTTAATTTTCCTTTTTTAAATGACAATTCTTTTTATTTTTTTGATTGTTGCGTAGAAGTGTGGTACAGGCCAGAGGGGGGCAGTGAGAGGATTCACCAGAGCACAACAGGTAGATTTACTGAAATACACTATTAAGGGAGTAGTGGGCAAGACAGGAGAGGTCAGCTGTGCCATACGTGGGTTAGCTCCCTAGCCAGGGATCAAACTCAGGCTGTAGCAGTGGTAGCTCTGAGACTTAACTCCTAGGCCACCAAGGAGGCCTGAGTGTTTCATTTTCTAATAACAAGCTTTAGTTTTCTAGATTATTGAAGTAATTAGCATTATAGAAAATCTGGACATACAAAATTAGAAAGGAGAAAATAAAAACCACTCTGGTAATTCTATCATTTCTAACATTTTGGTTTGTATGTTTTTAGTTTTTGTTCTACATATGGTACATTTACATATATGTTGTGCATATTTTACAAATCTTCTATAAATTTGAAGATATAATTAACATAAAATGTACATCTTTAGTGTTGGGTTTGATGAACTCTGACACCTATGAAAGTCCATGCAACAAACACAAGATAATGAACAATTTACACCCCCTGAAAAGTTCCCTCAAGCTTCCTTCTACATCCCATCCCCACCCCTTATTTCTCACATCAGTGATTAGTTTGCCTCTGGTTAGATTTCCTATACTTAGAATCATATATATATTTTTCTATGTTTAATTTTTTGTGTGTGTGTCTTTGAGTTTCACCATGTTGTTAGTGTCAACAGTTAGCTTTGCTCAATTTATTGTTAGTGTTCCATTGCAAGGAACTACTATAATTCCCTTATATAATGTCCAGTTTGGGTTATTATAATAAAATAAGGTTGTTTTAAATGTTCTTGTATAAGTCTGTAAAGATACATTTTCATTTTTCCTGGGTAAATATTAAAAAGAGTTGTTGGGATGGATGGTAATAACTTGAGACAAAGTTATAAAATCTTTTTCCAAAGTGGTTTTTTTATTTTTTCCAAAGTGGTTTCAATCACTTTATACCTCCACACTAATGTGTGAGATATTTTACTTGCTTTGTATCCCTACCAGCACTGGCTGTTGTTAGTCTTTATAATACAAGGCATTCTAGTGGGAACAAAGTGATATTTCATTCAGGAATTTTTAATATTCCTTTCCCTACTGAGTAGACAGTGAGGCTTATTGGACATCTGTATATCTTATATTTTGAAATGTCTGTTAACTCATTTTGAAAACTCACTCACTATCATGTGAATACATACCCTTGTAATGAGTTTAAAATATGAGTTTTACTTGCAGGCAAATTATAGATCTAGGCATACAGCAGGGGAGGGGAAGGAGAGGAGTCACAATAAGGGAGGGAAGAGCACAACGGACTATGGTGATGGTTAACAGGTGATGTAGTGGTGGGAGATTTAAGGGGACTACATATGGGTGAAGAAATCAAATATTGTACAAAAATGAACAATGTAAGAAAATAAAATAGTTTAATAAGAAAAAAAATTGAATTTTAGATAGCTGGATTGTATTCCGCATATGAATATACCACTATCTAGTTAAGTCTTACTGATGGACATTTAGATTAGTTTTGAATTTTTTGCTACAGAATAAACTTTTCTGCGCATAAATCACTGTGTGGATTATCTTTAAGGTAAACTCCAGGAAATAAATGAATGGTTTTGTTTCATATTCTTTTATAATCATCTCCTTGTGTGTCTATCCTAACTAGATAAAGGATCAGTGAAGCTGAGAATTTTACCTTACTCATCTTTTGTACATCAGGGCAGAGTATGTCCTCAATACATGTTGGTTGAATAAATTTTTTGAATAACTCTTGATAGATATTACTCTAATATAAAACCCAGAAATTCAGGACCAATACAGAATACCACATATTACTACTTCAGAGGATTGGAGTCTAAGGGTTAGAAGAGATTATATGGTAATAACTGACTACCTCAGTGAAGGAAAAAATGATAGTATCTTCTAAATGACAGTAGCACCAAGGTAAATTACATAATGATGGAGAACAGATGTCTTAAAATTCTCTGAGAATGTGACTAGTTTCCCTCACACTTACCTTGCCCAGAGACAAAAGGCCTAGAAAATTGGGACATGATGGAAAGTGGTGGTCCAGAGGGACGTATAGTTTTCAGGGTGGAGAGCTGAGCTGGTGTTGGTGACTGTGCTGGTGAAATAATGGGACTACTGAGTTGAGGGCTGTGCTGTAATTACATCAAGAAAATGGGTCAGCATTTTAGTTAGATTTTTTTATAATTTCCTTTGGGACAAAAATTTTTATTCTTTTTGATTACAAATAAGTACTTCTCACTATTGAAATATGTAGTTGTTATTAAAAAAAACTAAAAACAAAAAACCCCAAACAGTATAGCAATAATTTTCAACTCCCAAAGATACACATTGTTAACAGATTATTTCTATGCATATGTATCCATACGTCTATCTTTTACAGAACTGTGAATAGACAATATATCCTACTTTTGACTCTTACTTTTGTACCTTGACAGTAATATTGTAGATAATTTTTCATGATAGAATATAAACATCTACACCTTCTTTTTTTCACATTAACATTTCATTTTTAAAAAATTCATTCTTAAAACAGTTGAAAAAATTCAGTTTTCCCAAATATTAACATTTATTCACATTACTTTTATCTCTTTTCTGAACTATTTGAGAATGAGTTGTTCATTTTATCTGGAGATAGTGTCTATTGCCTAAAAATAAGGACATTACCTTATCTAAATAGCCATAGAATTAGAAAAATGTTAATAACAGATTAACATTATGTAACACATGGAGTTTATTCAAATTTTGCCAACTGCCCCACTATTAGCAATTTTCCTTTATAGCAAACAAAGGAAAAAAAAATCCTCCCCTCATCTATTCCCAATCCAGAATCAAGTGCTGCATTTAATTGTTATATCTCTTTAATCTTCCACATAACCTGTTTTCTAATTAGTCTTCCTAAATTTTCCCAATTATATACATTAAAAATATTTTAATATTTTCATCTGTTTAATTGCAAGTAAGTCATGAGCTACATTATAAGTGACCTTGGTCCTTTTAATTTTGCTATGATTCTGTCACTTGCATTAAACGTATGTTTTCTTTAGTTTATTCCTTTTTTTTTTAACGATTTATTTATTTGTGCATACAAGAACTGGGGTACAGGCCAGAGGCACAGTGGGTGAGTGGATTCACCAGAGACAGAGTGGGGGAAAGAATAGGCAGATTGACTGAAGTACACTGCTGAGGGGAGCAGTGGGCGAGTCAGGAGAGGTCTGCTGCGCCATGTGGGTTGCTTCCTGGCCAGGGATCGAACTCGTGCTGCAGTGACTGCGGATAGCTTCATAGGGTGTATCTTAACCCCTGTGCCACCAGAGAGGCCCTTCTTCTTCTTTTTTTTTTTGACAAGAGTGTATACTTCCTTCCTTCATCACACAGGAGTGAAATGTTTGGTAATGCTACAGTTGATCAATTGCTTCAAGTGTCGTCTATGTAATATATCCACTTAAAAGTTCCCCATAAACCCTATTCTAGTGTTTTTGGTATCTGTTGGTCATTATTACTTGATTCACAATTTTAATAGGACTCCAAAACGGCGCTTTTTAAAATTCTACCAATGCTTTTACATCTATTAATAGGAGTTGTTCAATTAAGAATGTTCCCTCATCAACTTTCTGGTTCCATTAAAATATAGTTCATATGGGAAAGGTAGGATATCTCCTTAATTTTTTTCTTTGCCCAACTTTACAGCTAAATTAAAAACATTTTGGATATGCAAAGCTGGGGTATAATATTAAATACTGAAAGAAATGATATGGATATAGAGAATGTTCAAACTTATTTACTCATTTATTTGAGATTTCAAATTCAGTGTCAAGCCTCATCTACATCAATTGATGTGATGAAAATATTGCAAATTTGAAAATTATAATAAGCAAAAGAAGCGTCTTACCTGAACAATATTTTCTACATTACTAAATTCCACACACTTCTGTCCTCTCTGGTGATCACAGTAATATTTGTTTTGTTTCCATTGTGGGGGCGAGTGAGCGCGAGAGTGTGGATTGTTTGGTACATTTAGTTGCATCATCACCATTCCTCCACCAGGTGGCAGAGGTGGCATAGCTGAAAATCAGAATTAAGACAGTATGCTTTAGCAAAGAGGTGGTATCTTATTAAACAATAAGATAATCACAAAAATTTTAATATTAGATATGCAAGCCACATTTAAGCCTTTGTGCTTTTTGCTACAAAAGTGTGCTTAAAATTAGGTTTTATCTGTAAACCTAAGCATCTTGCTCATCCTGAAAATACCAGATCTACAGTTATTCAGGAAAGCCAAATTACCTCCTACAAGACCTAAGGCAGTCTAAATAAGTTCTTAATGTTGAAATGAATTAACTTGAAAACAGAAACTAATCTAAATAAATGAAGAAAAACTTTGAAAAATTAACATCACACATAAATTTTGACAAAGAGAAAAAAGTCATTTTTTTGGGTGAATCAATCTGATATAGTAGAAAAATTAGTGACTGTGGCAATTAGAAAGCAATTTTAGTAGCTTGAAATGTCCTGTGACATTGGGAAATTTCATTTAACCTCTTTTGTTTCCTTATCTGAAAAAGGAGGCTAAAAAGACCTCTGTGGCAGACTTAAAGAGTCTTGCTGATCAAAAGTATATAAAAACATGGCCTCCCTGGTGGCACAGAGGGTTGAGCAATGTGCTGTGGAGCTGTCCACAGCCTCTGCAGCGCAGGTTCGATTCCCGGCTGGCCAGGGAGAATCCCATATGGCACGGCAAACCTCTCCTGCCTTGCCCGCTGCTCCCCTCAGCAGTGTCTTCAGTCTGTCTGCCTGTTCTGTTCCCTGCTCACTCTGGTGAATCTTCTCACCATCCCATGCCTCTGGCCTGTACCCCAGCTCTTGTATAAAAGTAAATAAATCTTTAAAAAAAAGCATATAAAGTCATTTGCTAATTATACAATAAACTTTTTTTAATCTATTTTCTTATCTGATTTATTTCTCTTGTGTACTGCAGAACAAGTAGTATTAGGCATGTACTTTGCCACCCATTTCTGTATAAAGAAAGGTAGGACACTATGCTCTGCCTTTCAAAGCCACACTCATTCTGTGGCAACTAAGGAGAGGTTTTAGTTTTCTAGAAATAGAACTAACTTGATTGGCTAGTAAACTAGAGAAGGACAAGCATCTTTGGTATTTCAAAGTTCCTTTAGTCACAGCAGCCTATACTACTACTCATTTATTTGATAATCACTTATTGTTTGTTTCTCAGATATTACATGTCAAAAATCATTACAATATGGTGTTATGATAAAGAATTATATAAAAAAACTTTGGAAGTAGAGAAAAAAGCAACAAACTGTTTTAAGGACTGGGGAAGACTTTTTAAAAAGAAGTGATTTTTGAGTCTAACTGTAAAGATGAGCAGGATTTTGGCACACAGGATAGTGGGTAGGCATTAGGAAGCACAAGGACAAATCTCTGGCATGAAAAAGCATAGTGTACTCTGTAAACAAAGTTCTATGACTTGAACACAGAAGTATAAATAATAGAAACAAGAGGCTTGTTTGCTAGGTTAGATGAATTTGTTTCATTATAATAAATTTTGAAATTTCAGGATTTTTTTGTGTGATGGGGAAGAGGAAAGTTGGATATGGAAGAAATATGAAGTAAAACACTTAAAAAATTACTGCAATAAAATGTAAAAAGAAGTGACCAAAAGTAGCAGCAGTGGGGAGGGAAAGAAGCTATTAGATTTGTGAAAATGACAATGGTATGAACCTCAAAGGGAAACACAGAAAATTTGTAACTTTTTACTTTCTATATATTTTGGTTCCTATCCATTAGGTGAAATAAGGGATGTAGAAGAGGGACAAATAAGAAGGCTAATGTGTCCTTGATACATAACAGGGATATATAGTAGGCAAATGGCTATATGGTCTTGATTTAGCAAAAATTAAGATTTGGGAGGCGCTGGCAAAGAACAGTAGTTGAAGCCTAGAAGGTAGCTAGATAACCAAGGAAGAGCTTGAAGAATAATGAGAGAATGTTTAAGAAAGGATCCCAGAGAATATTCATATGTATGAGGCAGGAAAGGAAGGACAACCTGAGGAGGAGAAAGAGTAGTATGTTAGCAATAGCAGCAGAAAATGAAGAAACAAAGGTGAACATGCTAACGCCATGATTTTGTATAGCACCATAAGCATCCCAGCACACAACAAGCTAAAAACCTTCTTCTAAAAATGCCTCAGAAACTTATTTTTCATTACCTTTTTAAAATTATCTACCCATACCTGTACACTGGTGGCTTTGGAGCTGTTGGGAACTGCATGGTGAAGTAGTTCGAGGAAACTGTACTTGTTCTGGTCCTGGATGTTGCAAGTAACCTACTGATGAGCTATGGGGGAAAAAGTCAAAACAACATGAAAACATAGTACAATGAGATGGAATGATTATAAAGATTCTCTGAATATGTAAGTTCTACAAATTAATTGGAAGTTTTCAAATAGCAGTAAAAATCAAATCTAACTCTTTCCTCTATATTATAAATACTTTATTGCATAAAAATCACTTCATGTTTATGGCAGTAACACTTTGTTTTTTAAACCAGCCAAAAACAACTCCCAATTCCACTACTTCCCATTTTCCAATTTATTCTATTTATGAGTTCTGTGTTGTTTAAAACAGCTTTCTAGTATTATTTAATTTGCCTTCTGAAAGAATTACAACACAGTGGAAAAAACTATAGAGTTAGCTTTTATTTTTTTTTAAAGATTTATTTATTTATGCATACAAGAGCTGGGGTGTAGGCCAGAGGTGCAGGGGGCAAGAGGATTCCCCAGAGATAGAGCGGGGAGCAGGACAGGTGGACTGACTGAAATACACTGCTAAGGGGAGCAGGGTGTGAGACAGGAGAGGTCTGCTGTACCATGTGGGTCAGCAACCTGGTAGGGGATCGAACTCAAGGCCCTAGAGTTACCTTTTAAATAGCACTCTTACTTTAAAATACAATTATTTATATAATACACTAGAAAGAAAGTTTTGTTGTCATATCAAAAGTTTCTCCTTTGAAAGGCAGGATAGAAATAGAAGGGGACTTTTTAAAGTAAAACACCACAGCTAATTCCTGAAGAAGTTCTTATTTTAACCTTGAACAGGAAAATAAAACACTAATGTCATGAACTCAATTAAGGTCATTCTCAACAAAAATCAATCTTCCCACATATACCAAGCGTTCTGCCATAATTTTGTAGGAGCTACCACTTCTCAGAGTATGATACAGTCAGTTAAATTGGTGCAAAATGCCACGACAGGATACGTGAAGACTGACATATTACATGATGAGACAGACAAGTTTCTAATGGATTTTCTATAATGTTCATGTTATTCCTACAAGGTTACATAATTCACAGGTAGAAATTTTCAATTCCTCCTGTCACTTATTTTCTTATTCTTATTGTTTCAGAATCAAAGTCACAATGAAAAAAAATTAGATACATTATATATTATTATTTCTTAATAATAATATATTTATTTTTGCAAAGAGGAACAGGGTGTAGGAGATGGGTGCAGGGAAAGGGGGGTTGAGAGGATTCACCAGAGACAGAGTGGGGAGTAGAACAGGTAGATTTACTGAAATACACTGCTAAGAGGAGCAGTGGGCAAGACAGGAGAGGTCGCTGCACCATATGTGGGCTAGCTCCCTGGCTGGCGATTGAACTCAGTGCTGTGATAGCACTGAGACTTAACCCCTAAGTATACCACAAAGTATGAGTGGAAATTAATGCCTGGTAGTGAAATATACTCACTAGATATTGTTGTAAATTCATGTGGTTTTCATTGCTATCTATTTTAATCGCTTATGGCATTTAATACTTGACCCATGATAAAGGATGTCGAACGCAACTTGGGTTTGAGTTCAAATTCCACTTTTTACTTTATGAGTGTTAAAATATTATCTAGACTTTTCTCTACAACAAATGTGATTAATCCATGTCTTATGAAACATGGATATAATTCTAAGTACAAATACGTCAAATGCAAAAGTCTACCAATTTGTTAGTAACTACAGAGTCAAAATATGCCACTATTTTTAAAACATGAATACAATGAAAATGGGTCAGTTCCCATTGGGATTACAGATTAACGGGAGTTTCTGTCAAAATGTTCCAAGGACTTAAAACAGTAATATTCATTGACTTATTAATTTACCTCTAAGAGCTCTATGCCAAGGAAGAAATACTGTTCATAAGATGGCTCAGTAAAGTGAAAAAAAAAAAAGGTATGACCTAAATGTTCTATAGTGTGCTAAATAAATTATAACATAGTCATAAAATTGAATAATAGAACCATTAAAGTAATATTTACAAAGAAATTATTTTACATTGTGTAATTTTGAAACACCACTAAAATCCATCTTAAAAAATTTTTTTTTTAAGATTTATTTATTCATGCATACAAGAACCAAGTACAGGCCAGATGTGCGGAAGGGTGAGAGTATTCACCACAGACAGAGAGGGGAACAGAACAGGCAGACTGACTGAAATACACTGCTGAGGGGAGCAGCAGGTGAGTCAGGAGAGGTCTGCTGTGCCACGTGGATATATCCCCGGCCAGCTGGGATTGAATTCGCACTGCAGAGGATGTGGACAGCTTCATACAGCAGAAGATTACTATAACCAGATGACATGACTGAAGATTTCTGATGGTAGATTGAGACTGTCAGTTGAAATTAAACCTCTGATACATTTAAAATCTTAAGTTTTCAGTCCCTTTTCATAGGCTATTTATAGTTTTACACATATATAAAATGTGTGTGTGTGTGTATATATATATAAAGTTATGAAATGTATGCATGTGTGACTTTTGGGAAATTACCACAGGGTATACACATGTTTAATACCAAGAGAAATGTTCAGTTTTTCCCAGGGTTTTATTTACTGCACAGAGCTTTAATTTCTATTTTGCTGGAATTATTTTTAGACATTTACTTTTCCTCAAGTATTTTAAAATTAAAATTTCATCTCTTCAATAGGTTTAAAAATCAATCTTTGCTAAATGTCCTGTGGTATATTTTTCCTTAAAAATACTTTTGTTTTTAAAGATTTGTTTTACAGCTTTCTCTTCACTTTAAATAAAATTTTTAGGAAAGATCAAGATTCTTTTCACAGCATTACTTAGCTAACTCAATAAATAATGAAAAATAAGCTACATAAAATGTATAATTTGGTATTTTGACATAGAGGTATACCACCAGCCCCCAAAGTTGCCCCATTCCTTTTGTAATCACGTCTACCTTGCCTCCCAATCATAGTTTCCCTGCCATTTCCCCTGAAATCACTACCATTCTACCCAGGGTTAATACTCATTTGCTTTGTCACTAGTATTAGGTTGCATTTTCTAGAATTTTATATAAATGGAATTATACAGTATACATATTTTTGTCTGGCTTTTCTTCACTCAGGATAATTTTAAGATTAATCCATGTCATTTTGTGTATCAATATTGCTTAGTGTACTGCCAAGGAATACGCCATTGATGAATATGAAGTCTGGTGTGATTTTTCATTGTCTATATGTAATGTGTCTTTTTTTCTCTGACTACATTTACAATGTTCTCTTTGTAACTTTCAGGTTTGTTTAGTTTGGAATTTGCTGAGCTTTCTGGATGTACATCCAATTTTGAAAAATTTCAGTCATCAGTTTATTCAAGTATTTGTTTTCTTTTTCCCTCATTTTTTAAGATTTATTTATTTATGCATATAAGAGCGAGGGCACAGGCCAGGGTTGCAGGGGGTGAGAGGATTCACCAGAGACAGAGCGAGGAACAGAACGGGCAGACTGAAATACACTGCTGAGGGGAACAGCAGGCAAGCCAGGAGAGGTCTGCTGTGCCATGTGGGTTGCTCCCTGGCTGGCTGGGGATCGAACTCGTGCTACAGAAGCTCCAGATTGCTGTGTGGATTGCTTCATAGTGCGGTGCTCAACCCCTTATGCCACCAGGGAGGCCCTTTACCCCTCATTTTTGAGGATGGCAATTACATGTATTAGGCCCCCTGAAGTGCACAAATGCTTTTCTCATTTTTTTTTTCTTTCCCCCTCTCTTTGAATTTTAAATTGGCATTGTTTCATCGTCAGTTTTAATGGATAGATTTTTCTTATTGTCTTACTCATTGCATATTTGGCTGTTTTTTTTTAAGATTTATTTATTTATGCATACAAGAAGTGGGGCACAGGCCAGAGATGCAGGGGGTAAGAGGATTCACCAGAGACAGAGCAGGGAACAGAACAGGCAGACTGACAAAATACACTGCTGAGGGGAGCAGCGGGGGAGACAGGAGAGGTCTGCTGCGCCATGTGGGTAGCTCTCTGGCTGGCCGGGGATCAAACTGGTGATGATGCAATGGCTGCAGGATAGCTTCATAGGTTGTGTCTTAACCCCTTGTGCCATCAGGGAGGCCCATATTTGGCATTTTTTTTTAAATAAGAAGTTTTTTTTTTTTAAGATTTATTTATTTTATTTATACAAGCACTGGGTACAGTTAGAAGCATGGGAGGGTGAGAGAATTCACCAGAGCCAGAGCAGGGAGCAGAAGAGACAGACTGACGAAGTACACTGCTGAAGGGAGCAGCGGGTGCGGCAGGAGATGTCTGTGCGCCATGTGGGACCCTTGCCAGCCACCATGTGGGACCCTCGCCAGCCGGCCGGGGGTCAAACCAGAGTTACAAAGGCTACAGGCAGCTTTGCAGCCCAGTGCTCAACCGCTGCGCCACTGGGGAGCCCCCATATTTGGCAATTTTTTATTGGATGCCAGGAAGTGCAAATTTAACCTTTTGAGTATTGGATATTTGTATTTAAAAACAACATTTTTGAGTTCTGTCCTAGGCATCAGTTACCTGGAAAAAATTTAATCCCATTGGGTGTTGCTTTATTTATGGAGAACCAGAACAGCTTTAATTCAGGGCTAATTCCCTTGCCCCCCTAATGAGACAGTACACTTTCAATTCTTCTATTCAATGTCTCATACATTGATGAGGCTTTGGTGCTCTGGCTGACAGCAATACATTCCTGTCCTTACGTGAGCTCCAGGGATTGCCTTTCCTGTTCTCTGAGTGATCTTTTCCTGGTCTTGAGTAGTTTCTACATATACTGGTAACAATCAGCAACCAACTAAAACTCAAAAAGGTTCTTCAGTAGGGCCTCCCCGGTGGCGCAGTGGGTTGAGCACAGCACTGTGAAGCTGTCCGCAGCCTCTGCAGCGTGGGTTTGACTTCTGGCTGGCCAGGGAGATACCCACATGGTGCAGCATACCTCTCCTGCTTCGCCTGCTGCTCCCCTCAGCAGTGTTTTCTATCCCTCTGCCTGTTCTGGTCCCCACTCTGTCTCTGGTGAATCCTC